AGGACTGGAGTGGGGTACAGGTAAACAGGACTGGAGCGGGGTACAGGTTCCAGGGTTCAGGTGGCTGGAACAGAAGGACACAATGCAACACTGACAATATGGGACTGCCTGGGGAAACGGGGCTGGTGTAAGTACTGACGGGATGCTTAGCGAAATGAGACACAGGTGAGCAGGTGGATGTGGGACTCAGGTCACTGGACAGGTGGAGAAGTCTGAGGGCATCTGGTGGACAAGTAGAGAATAGCAATGATGGAATAGTTGGACAGAGAGACAAAGAGTATGTGCTGACTGATGAGTTAAACAACAGTACACCAACTCATTGTATATACAGTACACATAGTCTGAAATACTGAAGCGCGTTTTAAGGTCTACAATTTAGGGATTCATTGCCCCTCGTATCTGTGAATGTTACATTTACTGAAACACTTAGTAATAGTACAAATAGTACATTTTTTGTTTGCATTCTTCTCTTGTGCACTAAGCTCATCTAATAATAGAATCAAATATTAATCTAAACAGCTATTTTTCAAAAGTCATAAAATCACTGTTGATATGCTGGTCTGTCTGTCCTGCAGGTATGAATGACTTCAGTTACATGCACACCAACTGCTTCGAGGTGACAGTGGAGTTGTCCTGTGATAAGTTCCCTCACGTCAGTGAGCTTCCCATCGAGTGGGAGAACAACAAGGAGTCTCTGCTGATTTACATGGAGCAGGTCAGTCGCTCTGCCTCTACAGCATCTGCACCGAGTCATCGGCTGCACCAGCTCTCAAATCCAGAGTTATTTCTGCCTTCATCTTCTCTCTGGAGCCTCACAGTGCAGCGTTTGCTCTTCACTCAGGTTCACAGAGGCATCAAGGGTGTGGTCAGGGACAAGCTGACTAGACAGGGAATAGCAGATGCTGTAATCAAGGTGGAGGACCACGACCACGACATCCGATCAGGTTCAAGACACTCAATTTTATATTTGAAATGCAATATTAATGCAGAAAATGTCTTTAACTAACAGTAACTGTGTCCAGAAGTGGAAATCTCAACGGAAAGGCAATTACAGATCATAGATATGTTTGACCACATGGATATATTTCTAGAAGTAATAACAAAGTGAAAACAAAGAGATTCTGGTTTATTTTGTCATGTGCTAGTTTATTCCTCTTATTCTTGTGAACATTGGGATGACACAAGTAGGAAGTCACTAACTTGCATGTTGCAAATTTTAAATACACTACATTCACATTTAGGCTGTCGAGACGGTACAATAAGTCTTTGTCTCATTTTTATTTCCTTAGCTGCTGACGGGGACTACTGGCGTCTACTGAACCCGGGCGAGTACAAGGTGATGGTTTGGGCCCAGGGTTACTACCCGTCCATGCGACGGTGCCGCGTTGGAATGGAGCCACATGCCACCATCTGTGACTTCACCCTGACCAGAACGCCCATTGAGAGGCTGAAGGAGATCCGGGCCAAAGGAGGGAAGATCCCCCAGGACCTTCAGCTGCGTCTTCGTGCTCTGAGGCTCCGCATGCTTCGGGCCAGCACCAAGGCCATCAACCAGCGCAGGGAGAGTCAGCGGCTGCAGCGGGCGAGGAAAGCCCGGTCCTCCGGAGCCCAGAGAGCATGAGAGAGAGATGGGGACGAGGGGCTGAAGAAGCCTCAGCCTGAGCTGGAAGTTCAGTTTAAACGGAGAATAGGCTCTGGGAATAGTGACATGTTCCTACTAGAGAGGATGCTGTTAAAGGGTCAGTTCACCCAATTCACAGAAATATATGTCTTCTGCATTTCTGCATGGAGACATGCAGTTTGATGTGGGGAAATGTCTGCCCCTGAGATTTGTATGTGCCAATCACAACTTTAAATATTAAAGAAAAACACAGCGACATATTTGGGTGTACTGGCCCTTTAAGGCAGATTAAACCACGACAGCCACACAAACTCTTACAGACATTGACAGGATATTTAAAAAGCAGGTTTTATACACAAAAAGAGACACAAACTGAATAACTTCTAAAAAGTTACACAAACGTTTTGAAGGATTATGGACATCTTCACATTTATAGACAGGCATCATTGAATGTTAAAGTTGGAATTCACCTCTGTTTTGTTTTGTACATGAACTGTTTCATTGGACATTATAGCCGATGACGCTGTAGTGCTTCATGACGACTGAGTGCGAGTGTCAGCTGGTCTGATATGTGACATGCTTTTCTAACAGCGCGTCTGTTTTTTTATTTGTTCAATTTAAGAAAAAAAATCTCAAATAAATATGACTTATTTGTCTTAATCTATATTCTAGCGTGTAAATCTGAACCAAGAGTGAAGAAAAGCAGAAGAACAGCCTGGAAGTGAAAGAAGCTGCGAGAACAGAGGTTCCATAACATAGAAATGAGGAGTCACAAGATGATCGGCATAAGAAAGTGCAAAGAAACAAGACAAAGTGCTGATGCAGATATGAGGTTTACCCTGTGGGCCATGAAGATCTGTAATAATAATAATATCTGTACCAAATGTCTTTCAATAGGTGCTGAGATATTTCAGTATATACCAACTTCTCCCTCCGTAGAGCCTCGGCGCTAGAATACCTAAAAACAAGATTTAGTTTTTATTTGATCTGATTTTGACCAGTTCAACCAGTATGGGATTGTCTCATTAGAATAAGGGCTGATGACGTGATGGTAGTTATTAATTCAAAAGACAAAAGCTAAAATTAGAAGAAAGTTTTCTTTTCCTTCTGAATTTGTAAATCATCTCATGACCCATGACCCCCCGAGGGGCCACGACCCCTAGTTTGGGAACCACTGGTTGAGTTTGACTGCCCTCTGGTGGTGGATTCTCAGCACTTCATGTGAAGAACAGAAATACTCAAACACCAAACAGTCAGGAGTGCAAAAGAAGCTAACCTTTTTATTTCAGAGACAATAAGTACCATGTTAGTATCATTGTTGGGATTACTGCTGTACGGCCATGTAGGGAACAACGGGGCGAGCAGTTCACAACCAGTGTCCGTCTCTTGTCCTCCAGCTGTGTGCAGTTCAGGGGACAGTGCACAGCTGTGTGCAGTTCAGGGGACAGTGCACAGCTGTGTGCAGTTCAGGGGACAGTGCACAGCTGTGTGCAGTTCAGGGGACAGTGCACAGGAAACACCAGAACGACCGACAACATTCAACTAATCCACACAACAGAACGCAGTTAAACCCAGAACAGGACTGAAAAACAAAAACGAGGAACAAATTCATAAAGATGAACCCGGTTATTAGTTGCTATACCTGAAGTGAAAATGGCAGATAAGACACTTCTCTCCAGAGCTTGTGATGTTTAGTGAAATAAAAGCAGCATGGACCTTTAACCTCCAGCTCAGTCAATGTAATATAGAAATGCTATAAATGTAACTTTAAATCATTTAAGAGTATTTGTTAGTGTCTGTAACTTGAGTTAGAATGAGAAAGTCTTTGAATTGACTGAAGTGGAAGTGAAATGAACTCCATTTGTTACTGAAACACATTTTAACAGCAGTTTAACTGAGGTACAAAGTGTTAAAAGCATCCTTTCTCATTACGAACAGGACGTGTTGTGAGCTGGGATTATGAATATTACTTTAGTCTGCATTATGAGTTATTATTTTTGTTTTCACTTCAAATCTAAATTAATTTCTCAATCATTTATTTTTTAACATTGTAGTGAATACGCCTCAACAGGACGAGATGATTGATAGCGATCATATAGCTACGTACAGCTAGCAGCCGGTTAGCTTAGCACAAAGTGGAAACAACTAGCCTGGATCTGTCTAACTGCAACAGAACCCCCCCAACACATCTAATGCTCGCTAATGAACACATTATGTTTGTTTTATCTGTACAAAAAACTAAATATAAAAAGGACAAATTGCAATTTACAGGGTTATATCCAACCAGGAAATAGTCTGGTCCATAGCCCCCATAAGATGGCGAGTTCTTGGTTTAACACTTCTTTTAATACGGACAGAACGTTCCTGTTGGGCGGACCCAGGACAGCCGTTCCCCCGTGGTTTACAAGGCAAGCTAAGTCACGCTAACAAGCTAAGTCACGCTAACAAGCTACGTCACGCTAACAAGCTAAGTCACGCTAACAAGCCAAGTCACGCTAACAAGCCAAGTCACGCTAACAAGCCAAGTCACGCTAACAAGCCAAGTCACACTAACAAGCCAAGTCACGCTAACAAGCTAAGTCACGCTAACAAGCTAAGTCACGCTAACAAGCTACGTCACGCTAACAAGCCAAGTCACGCTAACAAGCCAAGTCACGCTAAAAGGCTGCTAGCTGTAGCATTAGTTATATTCAATGAAAGGTCCAATGCGTCCATGCGAGTATTTCCCAAAAATATTTTACAATTCAAGCTTTTTCCAAATGTAAAGATAGAAAAACAGAAAGATGAAAGCAGATGTTCACCTTTAGTTCTCAGCTCACATCACACCACAGAGGAGAAGCACTGCCTCGTCCAAGATAAACATATTTTGGCATCTGACAGTTGCACACAGAGCATCAAGCTGCATAAATAAGAACGGTCAATCTTCATAAAGGCTTGTATGCATAGTAGTATACACTAATCTCTACTTTCTCTTTACTTAATATCTATTCTGCAGTCAGTCAGTATCACTGCAGTCAGATGTGACATCCATGCGTGTGCTCGGCTCTTACAGCAGCTATACTACACACTGGTTGGAAACAGCAATGCAACAATTGCCGATACTAGTCAAAGCAATCCATTCGGTCCTCAGAGAGGAAGAAAACCTGATTGGTCACCTTTAGGACAACAGTAGAAATGAGACACTGGATGCGATGCAAGCGGAGGAAAGAAACATCAAACAGTGACGTAGATCAACACTCAAAAACCAACGACATGAGGTACAAGAGCAAAAACCAAGCTTCACTTCATCCTATTAAGGTTAAACGAGCGATGCTGAGGATGAGGCTGACAATATTCTCACAGTCAATAGATCTCATGAAAAGACCCAAAACACTCCAACACTGTCTGCTCGGCCAAACACTGATATCTGATGCCTCTGTGCCAAAGAGCTCAGTTAATTAAAATGAAGAACCCTTCAGTGAGCCGCTCAGGTCCCTTCATTTCTATGGACATTGTAGTTTTTATATTAATCTCATATCCTGCTGCCGGGAACACTCACTAGAACACTTATTGTGTGTTATTCCGCAGCTGAAAGTAGTCCCCAACAAAGAGTAATGTTTGCTACAAACTACAGCAGCCGGCATGGTCAGATTAAACTACGTATTTCTCTTCCTTTTGAAAGGTTCACGTGTTCAGTAAGAACCAACGGGCTTCAGGCTGAGAGCCACAGACAAGATGGGGAAGGCTCGGGACACTGACTACCGTGCAGAATAATGCCAGCCTGATCTTTAAGGGAAGAAATGTGTAATTGCAAAAAGCATTTCTTTCGCAAAAGTATGAAATTCTTGCAATCGTGTTTTGCACAGAAAGTAGATACTTTGAAAGCTGAGAAGATGACAGCAGCATAAAGTTTCATTCACAGGCTTAAGATAAAAACACACAAACTGTGATGACGGGAAACAAGAAGTGAATCCAACGTAGATAATCCTGAACCATGGCAGAAAGTGAAATGTGTAAAATCAAATGAACACGGTGAACAACAAGTGCCGACATTAACGTGCCAATAAAACCAGTAAAGACCATGAAGGCGGAAAACAGCGCGGAGACGGAAAAGGAAGAGAAACAGGCGGGTAAAGGCGTCGATGACGACGTCCTTGAAGAGAGATTGTATGAGCAGAGAAGCAGCACCTGTGAAGAAGGCATGAGCGGAGCAGAGCGAGAAGAGCAACGGCAGCGCAGACGACAGACACAAGCGTCTTGTAGGTGGATTAATATCTTCTGTCCGTTTGTTTGCATCCTTAGTGTTTCTGTCCCGAGACAGCAACATCTGGATGTGTCGAGTCTCAAAATGAGTCAAAGTTTTCTACTGCTTTAGAGACCAAAATCAATCTTTAGTACGAAAAAGAATGTTGCAAGTTTGGACTTCCAACGCGCTCCTCAGTGTGGAGGAGAGTCCGCTCAGTGCGGAGGAGAGTCCG